ATGCCTTCGGGCACCGAATGCGAGTAAAAAAACAACTTCAGCCGGAATTGCTGGAGCCTGGGATGCTGGCTGATCCGATTTTTAGTTTAAAAGGCTGTTCCTGCTTCTTAGTGCATGGTTCATCTCTAAGACTGCCTAGGAATCGTGAAAAGCCACCGTCACCACCACCACCAACAACAAAAAATCAAACCCCACAATCTTAGCTAAGCAAAAATCAAGAGATGGAATGACCCTGACTGATAAAGTTGAGGAAGCAATTAAAATCTCCGCTAGCAAATTGGTCTCCATTTTCATCTCTGCTGTGGTCTGGCAGAGTAAAAGTGCAGATGTTACAGCTAATCTGGTTACTAGGTGCTGTTTTCCTTCACTGCTATACGTGTTGATGTGTTCTTGTTCCCAAGTTTGTCATTTGCCAGCAGGTGGAGGCAGGTGATCCTTCCCCTCTGCTCAGCCTCTGTGAGGCCACATCTGTCTCTAGGTCTGGGCTTCACAGTGCGAAGGACTTGGAGATCCTGGAGCAGGTCCAACGAAGGGCTCCTGATACCATCAGAACACTGGAGCATCTCTCCTAAGAGGAGAGGCCGAGGGAGCTGGGGCGCTTCAGCCTCGAGAAGACCTGAGGGGGGATCTTAACTATGTGTGTAAGTACCTGAAGGGAGGTTGTAGAGTGGATGGGGCCACGCTTCTCAGTGGTACCTGGTGATAGGACAGAAGGCAATAGGCACAATGTGAAGCATAGGAGTTTAATCTGAACATGAGAAAATCTTCTTTACTGGCAGTGACAGAGCACTGGAGTACGTTGCCCAAATAGATGGCGGAGTCTCCTTTGGAGATACTCAAAAGCCGCCTGGACAGAGTCCTGGACAGTCTGCCTTAATGACCCTGCTTGAGCAGGGGCTTTGGCCTGGACTTGAAAGATCCTGTCCTCAACCCCTGTGTGATTCTGTGACTTGCCTCATCTCGCTCATGATAAATATCATCAGGAAGATTTGCCTGAACATTAATATAT